AATATACATATTATATAGCTATGTTTTTAAGGGAGATTAAGGATGCAGTTTTTACTGGTAAAATTATTTCTCTCCAAATTATTGAGGTGCAATACTGTCAGTCTGAGGACAAAAGTGTGTCTTATTCAGGCTGTGGTCTTTTCAATCACTTGCTATGCTACTGAGAGCTGGACAGTGGATAAGGCTGACTGAAGAACAGATAGATGGCTTTGAGCTGTGGTGTTGGAGAAGAGCACTGAACATCCCATGGAATACCAAAAGAACAAACAGATTTGTCTTGGAGAAGGTACCAGAGTGCTCTTCAGAAGCAAAGATGATAAAGCATCATCTCACATATGTCGGGCATGTAACTAGGAAAGGCGATTCCTTGGAGAGGAACATGATGCTCGAAAAGCTGAAGGGACAGGGAAAGACCGGAAGACACTCAATCATATGGATTTACAGAATGACTGTAGCAATGGACCCGAGTGTGCCGGAAATTGTGAGGATGGCACAGCAGAGAACAAGGTTCAGGACCAGGTCTAGATCTGTTGTTCATAGCGTTGCTATGGGTCATACTTGACTCTACAGCACCTAACAACAAGAACGATGCCAATGATTTAAAGATGTTGCATCTGCCTTTCTATATTAACATTTTCTTTTATTTAAGTAATTTTTCAGAGCTACAGTAATCTGTTTTTCTATCTACTTTTTTATTAAAAGGCCAAGAGGGGGAAAAGCAGACTTCTGCAAATTCTGTTCTTGTCTTAATTATCCAGTGCTGCTATAATAAAAATACCAAAACTGAGCTGCTTGTTATACAAGCATTTATCTTCTCACAGTTGAGGAGGGCACTGGCTCTGGGGGGGAAGGCCTTCTCTCTGGTGGCTCTGGAGGAAAGGAATTCTTTCCCTAGCTCTCTAGTGACCTTCTTGAAGCATGAGGTCCTGCTTCTCCAACTCTGCTTCCTAGCTTGCTTGTTTAACATCTTTTATATCTCAAAAGAGACTGACTCAAGACACATCTAATATTAAACTTGCCTCATTAATATAAATATAATACTATAATCACAGGCAATGCCTTAGGTGAACAGGAAAAATAATTCAGTGCATAAAAGTACTTAAAAAGAAAGAAGTAACTGATCACTTTCCAGGCACAGTAATCTCGGTTTACTTTTTACTGAATAAACAGTAAGAAAACTGAGCTAAAGTACACAGTTTCAAAATGGATTTAGGGGACAATGAACACATTTGTACAAAAACTTGTACAAGAAGCCTCTAAGATACCAGTTTCTAAGCAAATGGATTCTCACAGATTTAAAAACTAAGCTAGTAACTACTGTACTTTGATTTGTTTCAGAGAAAGCTTCTGTTATTATGAATTACCAGAAACATAAAGTCTTTCCCAGTATTTTTCTTCACTGCAAATACTGTCTTAGAAAAAGAACATGATTGCTATGAGAAAAGCAACTGAAAACATTTTTTTCATCATCTAACTGTATTCTGCAAAGGAAATAAACCCACAAATATAGTGAGTTTCTATGTTCATCTTTCACTTTCTCCAAAAAGGGGTCCTGTAAGTCTCCAAAGACACATTTCTTCCTAGAATCCTAAATAAGAACACGGCAGCAAAACTACCTGAGAAAAAAAGGAACTCTGCAAAACTTCACATGAACTAGGTTTTCAGAGATAAGACTAGAGAAGAACACTGTATTTTACAAATAATACATGAATTAGACATTGGTCCCTACTCCTCATAAGCATGCTATACCACCTTGAGGAAGGAGAGAGGGAGAGTAGGACACAACAGGGAAAGTCTACAATGCATGTGTTATTTTTGTAAAATCAGAGTCATCAAAACAATTCCTTTATGTCTCCCACTAACCCATATGGCTGTTGTTGATATCTTTTCTGATGCAATTTTCTTTATACAACACAGCAGTGAAAATTTAAAATCAATTTATTCCGTCACTTACATACCCTGGATTCTGCATCATCTTCTTCTTCATCAGGATTATAGGCTTCTGCACATACTAGAAAGACAAAAATGAACATGTGAAACACATTACAGAATTTCACTAAAAATTAATTAGCAGAAGCAATCATACAGTGTAAAAGCAAATACCAGTTTACCTCATTCAGAGGTAATTCTACTCCACCTGACCCCACTTCACTCCAGTCCCCCAAAACTGGCTTCATACTGCAATTTATAAGCATTTTGTTTTAACTACAAAGCTGCATTTTAAGCCTGTGGCCTTGCATATTGCTATCGCCTACTTACAGAAATATAGCTTAAAAGAATCTCCTTTTACAAACTACAAAAATGTTCAAGATCTAAAAATTAAAAGAACAGGAAAAAAAGAAAACCAAACCTTATGAAATGATTAATCATATAATTATGAGTAAATTAAATAAATCTAATTTCCCAAGAATAAGTTCTTTATTTTAAAAAAATTATTTTATTATTTTTTTGTGTGTGTACCATCAAGTTGGATCCGACTGGTACAGGAGGAGATTGCCCCTCCTTCTCCAGCAGAGCATCTGGTGGATTCGACCCACACACTTACATTGTGTTTCATATGATCACCCCCATACATTGTAAAATTAAAATTAATCACCATTTATTGATCTGTGCCTACTGTATTTCCTTTATTCCAAATTGAATTCATATTGTATATAACCATTTTTAAGTGGCTTACTTCAGTTCACATTACAAAAATTTCTCATGGAATTAGAAACATTTGGTAAACACTGAGTTTAAGGAACTGCAGATTATTTATCATGTGGTATATAAGATGGACATCTAATTGGCTTCCAGTATTTCTCTATTAAAACAACACTGCAAAGAAAAATTTCATAGATAAGTATTGGTTTACATTTCAGTTTCTGTTGTAGCAATAATTCCCAAATACCATTCTGGGAGACTAAAGGTATAAAAATTCATGTCATATTTATCACCAGTTTCTTTCCAGGAGGACTGTCCTATAAAGAATCAATATAACAGAACTGGATACTGTTTACACTCTTTGCCAATTCATTTTTTTAAAAAAATCAACAAAAAAATTTCAATTATTGAATGTGAGTAACTCTGAAATGTTTATAAGCTGATTCTCTTCCCCCTTTTTCATCTTCATCTATGGAGAAGCTTTTGGTTTTCTTTGTGACTTACATCAGTCTTCTAATCTGGCATTATCTATCATATTTCTCACAACTCTTTCATCCAGCTTACCTCTAACTACAAAGCTTTTCAGATTGTGAATGTTTTTATGTTTTCAATATCATGAACTCCATCTGGGAACAAAATTCCACAATGTGAGTTAAACCTTAAGTTAAATATCACGGAAGTACCACTGCTTTTGAGCTTGGAAACTTCTTCCTTATATGAAAATCTTAAGATTTGTTACATCTCTTTTGTGGCAGAGAATTCCAGAAAGATGTTTAACTATGCTTTATTAACTATACAAAGTACAATATCAAGAGGGGTGGGAGCTTAAGTACCACCAAGAAATAGTCTGAAGGAGAAGAAGGTGTCTTTCTGGACCTGGCACTTTAAGGTGGATAGCAGAGAGGGTCAGAACACATGGCAGTGTCCAAGGGAAAGTCAAGCCTAAAGACACTGAAGAGAACAAGAACTTTCTTCCACAACTAACAGAGAAGAGGGGCGTTCTGCTAGAACCAGTACCTTGAAACTGCTAGCCTTCCAAATACCAAGAGGATAAATTCTTGTTTAAGCCACTTGCAGTATCTCCATTACAGCAGCATTGATAAGACAACTGGGCTTGATTGGTTCCATGAACCATTACTGTCCTAAATTTCCAAGCCAATAAATCAAGTTCCACAAGGTTTGTGGTTGTACATAAGCAGTTTGAGCAGGGGCGTGCTCACTGGTTGCCTAGTGGTAAGAACCTGCACTGCAATCCTGAATGCATGTGGTTCAAATCCACCAGCTGCTCCATGGGAGAAGGATGGGCAACTCGTTCTGTGTGATTAAATGCCTCTGAAAACCTGGAGGGTCAGGTATGGGTCGAGTCTGACTTGAAGGTACTCAACAAGAAGAAGAAGCAGTCTCAGCAACTGTTCTGTGTGTTTGCTGTAAATATATCTAATAGTTATAACTTGTTGTGGATAGATGTTGTGTAAGTCTATCTACCCACGACAACACTGATTTCGCTTTTTAAGCCGTGTCTTGTCAGTTGATTGTACTACAGTGGCTTGTGCGTTGCTGTGATATTGGAATCTCTACCTCTCGTATTTCCTATACCAGAAGGGTCATCCTTGGTATAAAGGTGTCAGCAGAGTTTCCAGATAATAGATTAGGAAGACGTCCCAGGTGATCTATTTCTTAAAAAACTAGCCAGTGAAAACCTTATGAACAGTAGCAAAACATGGTTTGATATGGAGCCAGAAGATGAGCTCCCAAGGTCGGAGGATACTAAAACTACAACTTGGGAAGAGATACCTCCTCCAAGTGGCGTGAACTTAACAACTTGCATGAGGTGAAGTATTTAAGATCTTCATCTGCTAATGTAACACCCCTCCAGATGAAATAACTGAAAACTTTCCTTACCCATTGGAACATGGAATATATAAAGTATGAATCCAAAAAAATTTCAAACAGCAAAAAATGAACCAGAATACATAAAGACCAATACTCTAGACATTAGTTGGCTAACATAGACTGGCACCTGCTATTCTGGGATATATTCAGCTAGTCTTTTTTTCTTTTTTCCCCTTGTTGTGTACCGTCAAATCGGATCCAACTGGCCCAGGAGGAGATTTCCCCTCCTTCTCCAGTGGAGCATCTGGTGGATTCAAACCGCGTGCCTTTGGGATTGCACTGCAGCTTCTTGCCACTAGGCCACCAGAGCCCCCTACCAGCTATTCTGAATTGGACAATTATAAGATCTACTATGAAAGGAATAACAAACTGAATAGGAATACTACCATACTGTCAAAAAGAAAAACATGTTTATCTATAATTTATTCACAATGCAAAAGCATTCACTGTATGGATTATAACAAATTATAGATAAAATTGCAAAAAAAAAAAAACCACCCCAAGAATTCTAGAACATGTAAGTACTTTTTTGCATGGCATTTGCACCAAGAAGCAGTCTTTCAAACAAAACAAGGGACTAAAGGTGTTTTCCCACGTTGTATTCTCTCATCATACTTACTCAATCTGTATGTTTAGCAAACAAGCTGAGAAGTTGTGTTGTATGAAGAATTTCATCAGGGATCTGAGGAAGATGCATTAACAGCCTCTGCTATGAAGATGACACAAACCTGCTTGCTGAAAGCCAAGAGGACTTGAAGCACTAACTGATGAAGAGTAAAGCCATCAGAATGGATTAGACCTTTCAAGTAAAGAAAATCCTCACACCTGTCCCAATGTTGTTCTTGATAAAGGTAGAAAAAACTGTAGTTCTCAGGGTATTCAGTTTACTTGGATTCACAATCAACATTTATGGAAACAAGTTAAAAAAACAACAACAAAACACCACAAAATAAACAGCACACTGCATTGAGAAAATCTCTTGCAAAAGATTTCTTGAAACTGTTAAAAGTAAAGATGTCACTCTGGTTACTAAGGTATACTGAAGTCATGGTATTTTCAATTTCCTTAAGTGCATTTGGAAGCAGCACAATTAGGAGAATTGAGACCTGTGAACTGTGGTGTCAGCAATGAATCCTGAATATACTGTGGACTGCCAAAAGAACAAACCAATCTGATCTGGAAGAAAGTGTAGCTAGAATGCTCCTTAGAAGTGTAAGATGGCAAGATTTGGTCCCAGATACTTTGTACACGTTATCAGCAGGAGCCTGTGCTGAGAAATGACATCATGCTTGGTCAAGAAGATAGTCAGTGAGACCTCTGCCAAGATGTCTTTACACAACAGCTGGAACAATGGGCTGAAACCACATCCAGGAGGATGTGGAGGACAAGGAAGTGCTTCATGCTGTTTACTCAGGCCTGCTGTAATCTAGACTTGGCTCAATAGAACCTAACAACAATGTGTCCTATTTCAATCTCAATACACTGCTGGTATGACTCAATACATAATACACTTATTTAAATAATAATCAGCTTAAAATAAGGTTATCATAAAAGCACAGGTGTATTAGACAACAGAGTTCTGAGTCAATACGGATTAAACATAGCTTATTAATGTGGAAATGCCTCCTGCAAAATTAACAAACTTTGCCTTTCCCCATTGTTACCTTATTGCATGTATTCTTTTTAAAATTTTTTATTTTATTAATTTTAATGAACATTTACAGAGATTTTGGATGTATTCTTAACCAAGAAACTAGTTCTCTGAGGGCAAAAGAATTTATCCATATCTATATCTATATATATCTATATCAATATATCTATATCGATATCTCCCTACACAGATTTACACTCAGAAATGGACATGGAATATTAAAATATAAAACTGTGTAATTAAAATGTTATTGGGAAGAATCAGGGGGGAAATTTCCAAGAGGATTCATGGAAGGGGAGTGATTATAAGAAGGCTGACCAACGCTGGCATGAGTAGTAAGGTCTAGTTAATAAGAAGAGAAGCAGAGGATGTATATGGTTGTTAGGCCATCAGAACAGGTTCTCCCATCCTGTTGACTGATATTTCTGCAGGAGAATTTAGCATCTATCTGCTCTGATCTATTAGTTATGACTTTAATATTCTTAATTCACCAAGCAAAGGCAATCAGAAAACATGCCCAAACTGCTGAAGCTCACAAATCCCGTTCAAGCAAAAGGCCTTGTGGGAAGTTTCATTTTCTCAAGTGCTTGGGGATCCTGCAGAGTAAAAGGATGATGTAAAGCACAGATGATTTTTATTACAGCGTATACTTAGATTATTCTAACTTTTTAATTACTTTATATAAATATCTACTCTATATAAAGGGAACTCTGGTGGCCAAGTGGTAAAGGTTTGCACTGTCAACCCCAAAGCAGGTGATTTGAATCCGTCAGCTGTTCCTTAGGACAAAGATGTACCATCTTCCTCCCACGCGATTTACGGCC